TTTCTGGATCCAATGTTGTTTAGCATCTTTATTAACTACGTGGATGTAGGCATAAAGAGCACACTGATCAGATTTGCAACAATAAAAAGTTGGGCTTTGCATACATTTTGAAGGGCAGAGCTAAAATTCAAAGGGATTTTGATGAATTAGAGAACTGGACTATAGATGACAAAATGAAATTCAACAGAGGCAAATGTAAGGAGCTGCACTTAGGGAAGTAAACCCAAATGCACAAATACAGAATGGCGGAGGGGGGGGGAGGAGATAACAGGCTTGGCAGCAGCACTACTGAGGACTTAGAAGTTGTGGTGGATCGGAGTCTCAACGTGAATCAGCAATGTGATGCCGTTGCAAACAAAGCAAATGCAATTTCAGGTTGCAATGTTAACAGAGGCATAGCATGCAAGTCACAGGAGTTGATAATACTACTCTACTCAGTGCTGGTTAGGCCTCAGCTGGAGCAGAGTGTCCAGTCTGGTCACCAATATATAGACAGGCTGTAAAGAAAATGGAAAGGAACCAGAGGTGAAATCAAAGATGATCAAAGGGATGGAATGTAAATCATGTGAATACAGGCTAAAGGAACTGGGTATTTTTAGTTTGGAAAAGAGATTAAGGGGGAATATGATAACGGCCTTCAGACATTTGAAAGGCTGCCATAGAAAAGATGGAGAGAAGTTATTCTTTTTTGTCACAGAGGGCAGGACAAGAGGCAGTGGGTTCAAACTACAGATTTAGATTAAATCTCAGGAAAAACTTCCTAACCATAAATACAGTAGGACAATGGAACAGACCCTAGGGAGGTCATGGAAGCTTCTGCACTGGAGGTTTTCCAGAGGAGGCTGGAGAGCCATCTGTCTTGGATGGCTTAGACACAACAAATCCTGCCTCTTGGCAGGGGGTTAGACTAGATCAGCAGTTCTCAACCTTTTTCTTTCAGAGCCCTCCACCCTGCACCCTGCCCAATAACCTACAAATTCCACTTCCCACCTGCGCCACAAGACCTGTTTTTCTGTATTCAATAGTTTAAAAGCCAGGATTAGCACTAGGCGGTGGCAGGCAGGAAAACTCAGGCTTTGGCTTCAGCTCCGGGTAGTGGAGCTCAAGCTTTGACTTTCTGCCTTGGTCCCCAATGAGTCTAACACTAGCCCTGCTCTCTGAATTATTTTGGTGGGCCCCCTGTAGTCTGCCCAAACCCTCCAGGGGGCGCCGGATCCCTGGTTGAGAGCCACTAGACTAGATAACCCTTGCAGTCCCTTCTACTCTGTGGTTCCATGATTCTGTGACATTTTCTGGAGAGTCTTCTGTCATGTTACATATCAGAAAGACCCAGGAAAAAGCAAATACATTTTTCCCCTTACCACATAAAATGGTGATGCAATAAATATAGAAAATATGTCGTCTTATTAGAATTGCTGTAAGCAAATCTGTATTTTATCAGCCTTGTTTGGAGAGAAGAAATCATTACAAACCAAAAAAACATGCAAATTGTCCATTTCCAACAGTCGTGGTTAAAGAAAGATTTGGCTGTTTGTCTTCCCTAGAATGCATTTTTATAAACATACAAAATAGGGACACTGAGTAATTTCACTTCAAAGGAGATCTAATAGGCTAGAACTGCCAATTTCTTGTGAAGTATTTGTACTCTCTGAACTTTTAACAATTATTTACTTATTTATTTATTTTATTTTTGACAGTCTCAGTGAAAAGACATTTTCCCTCTAAGCCCTGAGTGGAATGTCAAGTAGCACATTTAAATGCAAGTATTTTTGGTGACGAAAATGATGTGCAAAGCATGACCCAATCAAGTGTTTCTTTCAAGTATTTTTTTTAAATAGCACCAATATTTTATATAGACCATTCTGAAATAAAAAGAGGCCAGTCTGTTTCTCTAACGGAAATTATGTTCATTGATTTGATTCTCATAATTTTTTATCCATCCATTCATAACATGTATATTTTTGTGGAGCCAAATTAGTTAGTTACGGTATGTGTTCTTTTTAGGGGAAGGAGGTAGATGGGTGTTGTGTGGGTTGGGGATTTTCAAAACACGGCATGAATTTTACATGCTGTCTCCAAGCAGCATTAATTTTATATCTTTTCATTCATCCTCCTTTACACTGCAGGCTGATTTCATAAATAAGAAGAAAGTCCGATGTATCCTTAGAACATGTACATTTATTAACCACTACTAGTCAAGCACACACCATGTACAACCTCAGGAACACAAAGAAGCAGGGAATAAACTTTCAGGTGTCTCAAGTGAACAGGATGAGGTGCATGTTTGTTTAGAAATGTTTACCTGTGAGAGGAAGGATGATCCAGTGTATAGAGTGCTACTCGGGGGATCTGGGCTCAGTTCCCTGCTTGGCTGTATATTTCCAGTGTGACTTGGGGCAAATTGTTTGGGCCCAGGTTTCTAGATTCGTGTAGACAGTGCCACCCTCTGCATTGCAATGCCAAACTGATATAGGAGCCTAAAGTCAAAAGTGATGTAAACATTTAGGAGACTAAATCGTATCCACTGAGAAGAGGATTCCCCATTTGCAAAATGAGAGATAATAGCGCTTCCCTTCCTCACAGGATACATGTGTTACAGGTTATGATGTGCTTAGGAGTTGTGGTAATGAGGGTCTTATTGATATCTTAGATCATGGGTTCCCAAACGGGGGGGTGCCCCCTTGGAGGGGCATGAAGAAATTCCAGTAGGGGTGCAAGGCGACCCAGCCTCCCCCCCTCCCCCCGCCCATCAAGTTTTGCTGCCCCAGTCAGTTCCTTTTTTTTTCCCACCAACAAGTTTTGCTGCTATTTTTGGAGGGAGTGAGGGGGGCATGAGGGTCTCTCAAAAATAAAAAAGGGGGCATGATGCCGAAAAGTTTGGGAACCACTGCCTTAGATAGACTCTAGAGTCACAACTTCGGAGACATGTATTATGGGGAAATGGACTGGAATACCTGTTACCTGCCGGCATGGCCCAAGCTACACATGTAGACTCTCATGTTCTGTGCCACCGTTTTGGAAAAGTGATAGAAATGTAGCCGTGTTAGTCTGGTGTAGCTGAAACAAAAAACAGGACTATGTAGCACTTTAAAGACTAACAAGATGGTTTATTAGGTGATGAGCTTTCGTGGGCCAGACCCACTTCCTCAGATCAAATAGTGGAAGAAAATTGTCACAACCATATATACCAAAGGATGCAATTAAAAAATGATTCATCCTTTTCATCTATGTTCATTTTTTTTAATTGTATCCTTTGGTATATATGGTTGTGACAATTTTCTTCCACTATTTGATCTGAGGAAGTGGGTCTGGCCCACGAACGCTCATCACCTAATAAACCATCTTGTTAGTCTTTAAAGTGCTGCATAGTCCTGTTTTTTGTTTCACCATTTTGGAAGTTATCACTCAGATCAACTATCTGTACCGGTGGCTTTCAGCCTTTTACCTCTGGAAACCTCAAAAATCCATGTTTCCGTATTGCTACTCACCCAGTCCTGCAAAGTATTCTGGGGTTGGATTTTTGGGGGGGGGGGGGGGGGGCGGGGGTGTTTTTGCTTGATGCTGAAACCTGGAAAGGGAAGCCATCGTTAGTGTCGAGTGTTTCGCTTGCCTGGGTCACGTGTTGTTCAGCTCTGGGGATAAAGAATAAATTGTGAAACATGGTTGAGTGAGATGCAGCAGGATTGGGTGGCCAGCAGCAGGAAATGGGATTGATTTGCTCCTTCCCTCCCCTGCCCAAGTGCCTGGGATTTACCACCAGTTCTTTTCTCTCCCACGCAGTGGGGTGGAATCCAGCAGTCACCCCTTCGTTTCACACATCTGGGTCATACTCCACTGGTTGAGGGGATCCTGCGCTATGTTATGTGCAGGTGCCAGGCCAGGATTCTTGGTGCCTCAGAGATTTCCTAGTGGAATGTTTCAGACATTCCTCATGCGTCTGTCTTTCAAAACGAACTGGTTATTTCCTCCTTTTCAAGGGCCAGCCTTAATGCTTCTGTTTGGAACACCATGGTAGGCATCGGCAACTTGCAGCATTATTTCTCCCTACGGACACCACCTCCTGGAAAATACAGTCTGCAGACTACTTTAGCTACTATGGAGCCCTCACGCAGTTCCAGCCCTTTTCTTGTGTCAGCTCACAGCTAGGGCTGCCAACTTTCTACTTGCACAAAACCAAACACCCTTGTTCCTTCCCTGCCCTGCTTCCCCATCAAGGCATTCCCCTTGCCTCACCACTTGTCTATCACAGAAAAGGGAGGAAAAGAGGCCGGGGAAGATGAAAGTGAGAACAGACACCACTGAGCACATGCTAAAACTCATGGAAGACCAAATGAGATGAAGTGTCTTATCAAGATCAAGATGCAAAGCGTATAGAACCAAAGGCCTCCCTGTCAGCACATGCAGAACCTTTTTTACAACGACCCTCCCTCTACACCCATACATCAGCCTCCATGGCGGCACTTGCAAAATTCTTTATCCAGCAACTCTTCCTCTATGCTCACACGCTCATTTTCACAGTCAGGTAATGATTATTCCAACCAGACTCCACTCCCCATCACAGCAGCTGTGACTTTGATAGCTGAACGTTAACACAGTTGTGAGGTTTTCCAAAAATCCTTACCAACTCTTACCACCACGTATTCATCCTATGTGTGAGATTCCTGTGGAAGCCTGGAAAACCCCTTGGTTTCATGGGAATGCCTCACTCAGGATGGGCAGGGGAGCAACCCCACTACATGGAAATGTCAGCACCCCTCATTGTCAAAGTGATTCCACAGAGCCTCCATGATATTGACAGGGTGGCCCAGGCGCTGAGCCTCAGTGTGCCACCCACGGGCAAACACTTCACCCTTACTCTCACACAAATTATGTAAGCAACAGCATGTGGCCACAACCTTGAGGATATGATCCTCCATAAGGTCCAGCTTGCCATAGAGACACCCCCATCTCCCTTTTAATCTTCCAAAGGCACATTCAATAACCATGTGGCATTGGCTTAGCCTGTTGCTGTACCACTTCTTACTGCTGTCCAGGTGCTCCGTGTTAGGCTTCGCGAGCCAAGCCAGGTCACCTAGGATCACTATGGGCATTTCCATATCTCCCACTATATTTTTTTGGTCTGCAAAGAAAATCTCAGCCTGTACAGATCAGTGTTCCTGAAGACGTTTGCATCATGCACCTTCTCAGACCTCCCCACATTTATGCCTGTGAAATGCCCAGGGTGATCCACATGCACCCGAAGCACCATGGAGAAGTACCGCTTCCGACTGATGTACTCTGTGGCAATGTGAGGAGGCGCTCTAATGGGGATGTATGTACCATTGTTTGCCTCGCCACAGTTTGGAAAGCCCAGGTCAGCAAAGCAAGCCACTATGTCATCCACATTTCCCAGAGTCCCGGTCCTATGCAGCAAAATGCCATGTATTACCGTGCACGCTTGCAGAAGTGCGGTCCCTATGGTAGACTCCAACAGCAATCAGGAGTCACCAGCTTCCCCAAAGCAATCACAACACACTTCTCTGCCGGGAGTAGCTCTCATACGGGTGTTTTTGTGCCACAGTTCAGGGGCCAGCTCAGCACACAGGACATCTTTTAGATGAGGAATTATGTGATCAGATTTCAATTTGTGCATCTACATTCTGCTGGCTCATAGTCCCTTTGGAATTTCAGTTGGCTACAGTCTTTTTCACTTTTTGTTTTGCATGGCATACTGTTGCGGTTTACTGTTAAACAGCAGTCTTGCTCCAGCCTTGAAGTGAAGTACAGAGGAAGGACGATGGTGAAGTTGAAGTAGTGGATTGGAATTCAGGAAATTTAGATTCTGTTCCTGGTTTTGCCACAGACTTCACCTATGAAATGAGACAGGGCATGTTAATTCTCTGTGCCTCAGTTGCCCATCTGTAAAATGAGCTATTTCTCCTTTCTCCCATGCTTTGCTGCCTTGTCTATGCACTGTGTATGCTCTTTGGATCAAGGACCATAATCTGTCCATATTGTACCTACCAGATTGGCACTTTCCACCATACAAAATACAGGTATTAGTAATAAAAGGTGCCTGCACTTAAGTAATTAGTTTGTATAAATGTTTTGTGATGTTTTAAATATTGGTTTAGGATACACCAGAACCAAAGGTGTTAAATATAAAATATGAGTAAAACAGCCTACTTAGCACTATTGCTTTAAAAACTTTTAAGTTTTATGTTCATTTAACTTAAGGACATTCCTCGCACATTTAAGACAGGAAAATAAGGTCATCGCATTATATCCTTTGGAACATGTTTTTGAAATCTCACTTATTTAAATAGCATCTTTGATTCGATTGCACTGTGGCTTTCTCCCCATCCCCCGCCACTCCTCCACTATTGGTTTTCCCTTATGGGACACAGGGATTTGTCTTCCTGTTTTGGCCTTGTGTAGCCTTTCCTGTATGATGTCCTCGGTATATAAGTGTGCGCTCCTGAAATAAACTCCCTTCAAATTCACTTCCAGTTGTTTAATGGAATCAGATGTCTGCTTTCTCAGTGTGTTTTCTCTGTGTGGCACACATTTCTGGACATGAGCTTATTGAGTAGTTTCCAGTTGGTACAGAATATTCAACATTGAACGGCTTTCCTGGGATAACTTTAAAGTATTAATAGCTCACGCTCACAGAGCAGGTTAAGTTGCAGCTTTCACCCACTCGTTCAGTTAAATTTTTGCAAAGGAAATGAATGGATTTGCATTTGTAAAGATTTAAAGAAAATTAAGGGTTTTTTAAAAAATATCTGATATTTGTTTTCTCTTTACATTTCCCAGGTGTCCTTGGTGGGTTTCTTGTTTTTATTAGGATTGTACATTTCGTCCTTAGCTTCCTGCATGGGAGGTTTGTATGGAGCACCCCGAATTCTTCAGTGCATTGCCCAGGAAAAAGTGATACCTACCCTGGCGTTTCTTGGACATGGGGTTAGTAATCGATGATATAGAATTAGCTGTGGGTTCAATAACAAACAAATGTTTTAATGATGCATAAAAAAATGAGTCCATTGTCAGTAAATTGTCATGGCTGATGAACAGTAATTAAATACCAGCTCCTTAATTGATTACAGTAAACTCCTCCTTTAATCTCTGCTCTCACCAGTACCCATACTGTCCCCTCTCTAGCTCATGCAAAACACAGCCACTGAGTTCCTCTTCCCTGCCTGTTGCTCTGTTCATATTGTCTCCTCTTTGAACCCCTCCATTGACTCCCCCTCCTTTGTGGCAGGAAGTCCAAGCATCTCGTCCTTGCCTTCAGGAGGCCATATGACTGTCCCTTATTACTTATCGGACATTGTTTTTTATTGTGTTTCCTCCCGCACATCTCTGTTCCATCTTTGGTGTGTGCCTCAGTACCCCAGTCCACCTCTCCCACATCAGCCTCTTTGGCTTCTTCCAGACAGAGCCCTACTCATGGAAAACCCTTTCTTAAGCTGGCCTGCAAGACCCCTCTCCTCTCTTTGCTCGGGTCCCTCCATAGGACCCACTTCTTTTATGATGCCCGCAATAAATTAGCCAGTCAATGCAAAAGATTGGCTAATTTATGTCCTAACCCTCACCACCATTCCTACTTCATGTGACCCTGTACTCGCCACACGTGTTCTCCTTAACCTCTCCCTGCTCTCTGATCTCCTTTGATGGCATCATGTTTGAAATTAGGGCCAGTTTTGCTAGTAGCAGGTTCATGGCCTTAGTATGTAAGCATCGTAGGGCGGGGATCACTGCTTATTTATATTGTGAGGTGTCTAACTCACTTTGGCTTCTAATACTAGTGAATAATAAAGGATGGGTGGATAAGTTTTCAGAAAAGGTCAGTTTTGGGGACTACACATCTTAAATGGTCTTTTAAACTAACCTTTGGTTGAGTACTGATTGAGGCTTGGTTCTGCCACTATTACTCATATACATTGCTTTATATACCTGGGTAATCCTATTCAGTTCAGCTGGGCTCATATGAATAAGGGTTGTAGGATTGGGCCATAAATTAAAACCAAATCCTTCTTTTCTGACTCTTTTTTGCTAGATAGATAGAAGGAAAATTCCATCTCTCAAAGCCAGCCTGTAATAACAAACTACTCATGAAAGCTAACAAAAATCTCACGAGAGACATTTTTCAGATGTGCAAGTGTTGTAAATAAAGTGAGAAAAAATTACTTTAAGGTTTTAATACATTAAATGTTCTGTAACACTGTATACTCTGCTTCTTATGCATTTCTGCCTGTGGTTCTCACAAATAGAAGTAGCAGTACTTAAATTCTTTCAGTATGATTTTTTTATTAAGTGTCTTCTGTGGAAAGGGCCAAATTCTGCAGCCAACTCCTGTGGGCTCATTCATTGACTAGGACCCAACTGGAAAGCTGATCCTAACATGACATAGCACTGCCATAGCAAGCTTCTGTTTTTTCATAAAATTTCCTAGTATGAAGTCCTTTGTCCTGGCAAGGTGTCAGGACAGGAAGTGCTTTGAAAAGAGGTTAGGAATTAAAGGAAAATCTCCTTCCTTCCTGCTTGTATCTGCCACCTTGAGATTGACTGTTGATTTGGTTCACGGGGTGGGTTAATATAGTAGGTTGCCTGTAACGATACATTCTGCACTGGTCCATGTATACAAGGGTTTAATTTTTGTAGTCATCATAATCCTAGTTAATATGAGGGAGCTAAATGTTGTTTTCTGTGTTGTTAACCTTAGGCCAAAGACATCCTAAGACCGTACCATCTGTTCCCTGTCTCAATAAGTTTTTCTACTTCTTAAGATGCTTTCTGAGAACATTGCTTCTTTATGCTTGAGACACATTTATCATATTGTTGGAAAAATATGGATAGTGCACGATACATTACCCTTTTCTATTAATAAATGAGTGAGAGTGTGGGAGAGGATCAAAATAGCTATCATTTGAGCTGTGCCTTTGTTAAAGAAGCAGATATGATTGAGGAAAATATAGGATGATACATATTTCAAGGGGATGTATTTGGTGTCACTGTTGGTATAACTGGAGTGTACCTTCTAGACACTATTGGAGGGACCTTTGTATGGTCAGTACTCTGGTTTATATGGAAGTTGGTGAAAGTCCTTATAGTATTTTATATTTGAAAAACAATGTCTTGCTTATCCAATCAGAGCTGAAAGATTGTATTAAAGGAAAACTCATGATTTAAATGTCTTGCTTGCAGTACTACTAATGTCTTAGGGGGCAGATTGTCCAAGGCATAAATGTCATTTAGGCAGCTGGCTCCTATTGGAAATCAATGGGTGTTAGGCACTTAGCTGCTATTTGAAAATGTTCCCTTGGGTTGCCGATGCCATAAGAAGCTTAGAAATCCAATTTCCTTTCCACCCTTTATGCTACTCCTTTCATTTGTGTATTTCACTCAGCATGGACAGTGACATTAGTCCTCATGGTCTCATAAGTAGCCACCTTCCCACACAGTGTCATATTTCCAGTGCAGTAGGTGAATGTGTAAATGCCTCCACAAATCCCCTTTCTTTCATTCAAAAACCATAATAACATTTCAGTTCATATTTGGTAGTAAGCTATAGCCAGAAAAGTCCTACTAAGTCATCTAACCCATTCCTCAGTGCAGGATTGTGCTTGACTGTGTCTCATCTAACACAGTTTTAAATGTCTCAAGTGATGGTCTTCTACCACGTCCTTAGGGAGACTTCCAAACTACAGCCTTATAAATGTAGGCCAGGATCCTGTAAAATATTGATTCTTCACAGGCAGAGTTTTATGTTGCACTTTAGAATTTTGTCTTATACTTAGGTTCAGTTTTCCTTTCCTTAATTTCATCATCCCATTCCGTCTATTTATGCTATTCTAATAATAATCCCTCTTCTGCATTGGTGTTTACTCTTCATTGATCGTTATAAACTTCTAAGAGGGTACCTTCTTGCCTTTAGTGTTGTCCTATCCCGGTGATGCTTTAGGCATAAATGTAAGAGTTTGAGTAAAGACCTAAATTCCTCAGAAAGAATCTATTAGGTGCTGCAGGTTTCCATTGGACCTTCCAAGTTAATTGAAGTGTGGTTCTGCTTGATAAAGTGGCTTTATGGGTGTGTCTTGTTGATTTCCAGACCAGATTAGACTATACAGCCCTACATCTTTCTTTGTTTTACCTGCCAGCCACATGAACTTACCCTATGCTTGGAAGCCTTGTTTTTGCTGTACAGCTAGCATTGAATATAATTTTAACCATGACGGACTGGTCAGTCTGCGCAAGGACAAGATGTATTCAGCATTGTGTCTGGTAGTCATAAGTAAATCCTGATCTAAGAAGGATTTGCCCATGACTTGTCCTGGTCTGTGCTAGCCCGCCGGCCTTATGTCAGCTAACTCAGCTGTTGAAAATCAGATTTAAGATTGTTTCAGTGAAGATAAGACCGGAGAGTAGATTGGGGTCCTTTACATCTCTCACAGCTTCGCCAGTAAGAGAGGTTTTGCAGTCACACTATGCCCTCATTGGCCTCCCTTGAGCCTTATGTGGCTTTGCACAGGCATCCCAGAAGTATAGACACATTGAATGATTCGTCTAAGCCAACGGAAGGGTGTGTTAGGCCTGGAGTTAAAGTTCAGGCGCGGCCAACTCCCAAGCCTTTAATTTAGCTTGACACACTTCAATCCGTACCTCCTTTCTATTCTCCCCTACCTTCACCCCACCCCAAAGTAAAAGAATAAACAGTACTTCTTGTGGTAGTCTGCCTTCCTGAACCTTGCCTGGCATCGTTTGTTACTCTTCCTGACCCACACCCTTCAACATCCTTGACTGCTTAACCTCTTCATCTGCTCCTTTCCTCTTGGCCTTAGGGCAGCGGTGGCTTCTTTATTAAGAAGAGGAGAAATGCTAAATGCGGAATCCCCTAATACAGCAGCTGCAGTTCAGCCTCAATTGAAGGCCAAGCCAGCAGCTCCTAATGTGAAATGGCGCCTCTCCCCTGCCTCACAAGGCTTGCTTGGCTGCCAGTTGAAACTGTTTTCAGAGCTCCTTTCCAGCACCTGTGTATGTCACGCCTTTTGTTTGGCAACAAAGAATGTTCTTCCATGGACCTGAAATTTTCCTTTTTAAGGCATTCTCTAAACCATGGGTTCCCAAACTGGGGGGGGGGCGTGAAGAATTTTCAGGGGGGGCGCGAGGCGACCCAGCCTCCCCCCCATCAAATTTTGCTGCCCAGTTCAGTTCCTTTTTTTCTTTTCTTTTCTTTTTTTTTTATCAACAAGTTTTGCTGCTATTTTTGGGGGGGGGGACATGACAGTTTTTCAAAAATCAAAAAGGGGGGCGTGATGACAAAAAGTTTGGGAACCATTCCTCTAAACAATGTAATAATACTTTCAACGCTCTATCACTTTATTACCTGACTTTAGGGATGGGAAAACTGAGACACTGAGGCTATGTCTACACTGCGTTTTTGTGGTGGAAGAGGGTATGCAAATGGCATGCTCATTTGCATATCTTCTTCCGATTCTTTTTGCGGAAGAGGTTTTGCTGCTAAAAAGCTCTGTATAGACTGGGCCACTTGTCGGAAATAAACCCTTTTTCTCAAGATCCCTTATTCCTCAAAAATCGAGGTTTACAGGATTTTGCGAAAAAGGGTTTTTTTCCAACAAATGGTCCCATCTACTCGGGGCTTTTTATCGGCAAAACCTGTTCCGCAAAAAGAATCGGAAGAAGATACGCCAATGAGCGTACCATTTGCGTATCCTCTTCCACTACAAAACCGCAGCGAAGACATAGCCTGAGTGAAGTTAAGTGACTTTCCCAGGGCCAAACAGCAAGGCAGTGGCAGGGGTCAGATTATTGCTCAGTGGTTCCTGTCTCCTGGTGTCTCATTTACTCTACTGTTTCTCATTTACTCTGATGCTTCTTTTCATGTATGTATATGTTCCTTTATGTCATGACCAGCAAGATGTCCATCAAAAGATTGCCTAGACTTTGATAATCCTTTATCAGTGTAAACAGAGAGTGTCATCTTCAGTTCTGCTTTTGTGAGGTATGCAAGTATATATATAAATATGTTTGTTTGGTTTACAAAATAGAAAGGGCGTAACAAGACCCCAGTGGCTGCCATTTGCTTAACAAGTCTCATCACCATGGCTTTCGTCTTCGTTGGCCAAGTAAACATTCTCGCTCCTATAGTCACCATAAACTTCATGCTGACATACATTGCTGTGGACTACTCTTATTTCTCAGTCTCTATGAGTTATCTCCAGCAGCAGAAACCCAAAAGGACACAGAGGGAGGTGTCTAGGACTGTCAACTCTTCCCAGCCTTTAACCTTTGAGAAAACTTCCCGCTACGGATCAGATGGAATAATGCAAAGCAGATCAGATGGTACGTTGCTAGAATTCACAAAAGACATGGACCAGCTTTTTAAACCTCTTAATAAAGATCTGGGGACTTATCAAGAGAAAGAAGAGCGAGACAAGAATTTAAATCAAAAGGTCAAACAGAGAAAGGTAAAGAAGCCAGCCAAGCAAACCTTACAAGATAGCTTTCTCTTGGATCTTGATCATAATACCACACCTGCTCCTTACTGTTGCACCAAAACATCAGACCCTCATGATGAAAGTCTGCAGAGTTTTGCTGATCAGAGTCACGAGCATGAAAGAAATCTATATGTATCATCAGCTGTGGACACTGAGCAGAAACGTGACCATGAGCTAATGGAATATGGAGAACAACTTTTTAATGAGCTGCAAAATCCCTCCAATCAGAAAACGGAAGGTAAAGATTATAAGAGCCGAGATAGACATCTGTGTTTTCATGGAGGGATGGTTAATAATCTCTGCCCTGCTGGTGCTTTTCTGTATGCAGGCTAGAGATTAGTTTTATATGATGCTGTCATTCAGTGATTCATGACAATAATATCTTTTTTTTTATAGGTAAGGGTAGAGTTCATCATAATGAGTCTCAGGAGAGGTTCCAATCTAATTTGCCTGTGGAAGATTAATTGGTGGAGAACAGGCAATATTATGTGGGAATGTTGACTGTATACCGCATGCTGCCTATAATTCTGCAAGTGCATTCTTAATGCTGCACACAGAAAGATTTCTGAGCATGCCAAGGCATTTGTTTTCATCTTGATACTGAAGGGGAGAAGGCTTGTAAGCATGGAGCCCCTGTTCTTCCCAGTGAAATTATCCCCATGCTATTCAAGAAGACCATGAGTAATTTGTCACATCACCCTCACTTCATCTAATGATTAATTTATAAGCTTCAGAGGGGAGCCGAGTTAGTCTGTTGCAGGGGGAAAAAATGGTCTGGTAGCACTTTATGTTTTGTTAGTCTATAAAGTGCTACCAGACCATTTGTTGTGATTAATTTATAGTGTAGATCGGGATATATAATGCTTTGAATTTGTAGAGTTTTTCATCTGAGATTCTTAGGGCATGTCTGTATAAACATTGAATTCACAGCAAACTGGACTGTGAATCTACCCCACACTAGCCTGTTACAGACTAACCCTATGTGTGGACCCTACTAATGTGCAAGTTGGTTAATGTGCTTTGAGCTAGTCCCATTTCAAAGTGCTTACTAATAAACTGTTGATATGCATCAGCAGGTTCCATACAGACAGAGTAGAGTCACACCCCATCTTGCCACATGCTAATTGTTTGTGTGGACCAGCCCTTTGTGTTCTACAAGCATTCATGAATTAAGCTTCACAAAGCCCTGTGAAGTTGTATTATTATTTCCTCCACACGAGGAAACTGAGGCACGGAGGGAGAATGACTTGCCCGAGGCCCTCCAGAGAGACAATAGCAGATCTGGGGATAGAACTCTGCATGCCCTAGTCTTCTGCTCTAAATGCTAAACAACATTGCCTCTCTACCCCAGCACAAGTTGTCTGGCTAAGCCTTCTCATGCAAGTTGGAAGTCTGAAATGATATCTTGTTTTCATGTAACTTGATTTAGATAAGGGACAAAAACTCTCACCAAGGGGTAGCCTGGCTGCTTACTAGGATGCAAGTCTACTTCATCACCAGTGTGGGTTTTGTAATGTTTTTGTTTTCTTTTTCTTTCTATAGATACAAATGTAAAGCAACAAAATCAAGAACTAGAAATTCAGAGAATGCCGGTTTCCTTCTATTCCAGACTGTGCAATCACTGGGTTTCCCTTGCTGGTGTAAGTCACTTTCTTTTACTTGGAGCATCACTGCAGGAGGGTTGAAAAGTAAAAATAAATAACAGAAGGATTCACAATGCAGTAAAATGTACTGGGATACGGGTAAGGGGGTTTCACGCCCAGTGTCACAAGTGATCCTGCAGTCAGTTCCTCACATTGCTCAGATACACAGTGTTGAGCCAAAAGCTCTTGAGCAGGAGTCTCCAACTCCCAGCCCACATGCCAGGCCCGGATGGAACGACTGCACAATCTAACCCGGGACTCCCAGCAGGCTGAGGGGTGTCCTGTCCATTACCAGCCCCCACTCCACACCCCTTCCTGCCATCGCCCCACCCTCTCTCCTCATGGAACCCCGTCCCTGAGCATGTAGCTTTTGGAATCACTGGGATCACATCGGGGGAGAGGGTTGGACAATGGCAGGAAGGGCCGGAGCTTGGGGCCAGTAACAGACAGGCCACCCCCGGTTTGGCAGGAGTCCCAGGCTTGGTTGTGTATCCCTCTGGCAGGGACTGGTCCATGGGCTGTTTGCAGCCAAGGGGAGCTGTGGCTTCTCATGGCTTCCCTTGGCTGCAAATGGCGAACCGGAGCCAATGGGAGCTTGCGAGACTCCATGGCTGTAGAGCCAGTAGGTAAACAAACCAGAGTGGCCAGTTAGCAACTGTCTCAGAATGGGCCCACAGCCCGCTTTGAGAAACACTGCTATAAGCTGAGTGCTTGGGCGGCCACCCAGGAAAGATTCAAATGCTGCCCAGCTGATTATCAGAGCAGATATTCTACTAGTGTTGCTACTAGTGGTGCACAGCTGTACATGCTTCAGTACGCATAACAAACTTTATTCCACACATAGATGGAAAACATTAGAGGGAATGCTGCCTGCATCTGCAATCTCCCTGGTGCAATTGTATGGCCCCACACATTGGGGACTCTCAGGGACAGAGTCAAGGCTCTGTCCATTTTCCCTCCACTCAATCTGTGCCCCCCTGAGCCACTGCGAAAGGGGTTAGTGACTATACAGAGGATGCTTTCACCTACCACAAAATGCTGGTAGCTGGTGTGCGCCATTTTATTTCCCTTCAGGTGTGAGCAGGGCAGGACAGGAGTCACTAAAGGTCAGCCTGGGACAGAAATGGTTGATCTCATTGAAAGTGTGTGGAAACTCCTTAATTTTAGAATCTGAGCCTAGAATCTGGTTCTCTGCTTCCAGCCTATATTTAGGAAAAGAGGGACATATTCTCCTCTCAGTCATGCTGATGTAAATCCAGAGTTCCTGTGGATTTACCTGGTGTAACCCGGAGTAGAACGTGGACCATAGTAGTCAAGAAACTAGGACATAAGGAGCAAGATGAATTGTAGGCAGATGGTAAAATAAACAAAACAAGACGATAAAGAAAACAGTGTAAAAACAGCTAGAAACTTCATTGGAAGCCCAGGCTGTGATATGAGAAAGAGAAGGATGTGGCTGTGACATCTTTCTCTCAAATTTCTGGCAAGGGGCTGAGGAATCGGTGTGCTGCCCCGGTCCCAGGCATCCACTTACCTTTTTGCCATCAAGGTGTTACTCAGCATAGGAATCCTTCTGGATGTTTTATGACCCATCAAGTCCAGTCCTACTGAATGTGATATAGAGATATGATAGCGTGTATCCTGGTAATACCTAATCCAAACAAAAATTGTGGAAGGTTTATTAAACCTCATGCTACAGGAGGTAAGCCAATCTCTAGCTATTACCCATCGGGTGAAACCATCATGGGGAGCAAATTATACCACATCTGCCACCTCTGAGGTTCCTATTCTGCCTTTGTTAGCATGCATCCCTCTGGACAGATCACTGCACATCATCAAATATCTGACGATGACCTAAAATAGCTTTCCTATGCATGAAAATGTCAATATTCAAAGTCCAGAATTTCAGGGCCTTTTCAGACCAGGAAGTGTAGTCAGATGTCAGCTTAGAAGTCATGCCATTTGTAGGTATCAAAGAACCAGTACTGCACAGAATGTTGCTTTTCTCAGACCTAGGGCAAGAGTAATTTTGAAGGGAAATTCCACCTTTGGGGAAGGAGGAGAAAACATTCCTCTTAAAAAATAGCAGCTATCTGAAGCAGGATTTGGAAAGTTATGAAGGATTTGGAAAGTTAAAATATATCTTGGGGAGAATGATTAGAGCAAATGTCAGGAAAGGTGGTCAGAGGTGCATGATAAATGAATTTATCACATGGCTTTTCATTTTATCACATGGGTAGTTTCTCTACATGCAGGATTGCATGTATATGTATAGTGAATACAGTTAAACAATACACTGCACACTTATTAAATGGCACACTCTTGTAAGCTTAGCTTTGGCTACCACATTTTAAACAATGTTGCTCAGTAGCTCATCTTCACCCAATGCTAACTGCTGGAGAGAGGCCATACTGGACTGTGATGAGATGGGTGGGATGAATGTCAGGTATCTTTTGTTGAGTGTATGAAATATTCCAAGCAGTTGCAAGCTAACACCTGCATTTTGGATCAGTAAACAGTGTAGTTCCCAAATACTGAGCTCTTGTATCACGACTGTGGCTAATATCTCACGAAAGTGTGGGGAATGCTTACCTTTGTTTAAACAGGCGGCTTTGACATTTTCATTAAAGCTGACTTGGCTTCTGTGGAATGATTTGGCTTGGAAAGAAGTCATGGTGGATGAGTAGGGCATGGGTACACAGTGGCTTATGAGACCTGATATGGAAGTTTAATAATGTATATGCACATATATAAATATTCTGATTGACTCTTACCTCTGTCTCCCGCTCAGCTCTGACAGTACTATCAACCTTAACCTGCTTAACTGTTTCTCCTACAAGCATCTCCATGCTGTCCCCTGGACATGAAGGATGCTTCCTAAGCTGGTGTGCAAAAACATGACTCTCATTTCCATTCATACACCTGCTGAAAACCCCCATTTACCATGAAAACCTATAAGAATCCATGGATAGCGTGTCTGAGGCAGTGGTGCCAACACACTCATCAGGGTCCTGGGCAAGGGGAGTGGGTCCTGGCTCTGCACCTGTGGAAGGGACAGGGCCTCAGCCAGAAAGGGTGGGGCTGGGGCTAGCCTTCCCTCAGCAGCCCTCAGTGCTGCCTGGAGTGTGCTGTGCACGGCTCCAGCAGCAGTTTAAAGGGTGCACGCGTCTGGCTGCCACTGCTGTGTCAGTAGTGACAGTTGGGAGCCTCTGGTCCTTTAGAATCACTGAGCCCCAGGGCAGTTGCCCCCTTTGTTTCCCATCAGCAGGCCTGGTCTGAAGATAACAGGGGGAAACTTTGTATGGATCCATTTTTGAAAGAGATGCAGGCCCATCCTTTCAAAGGCACCTAATTGAAATTAGTGGGCGTTAGGCGTCTTTATGCCTTTGAGAATTGAGGCCTAGGTACTAAGAACCTGAGTCCCATTGTGCCTGTCACTTTTGAAAATGAAGCAAAGTGTTGACCAGTTGTCACTTGGACCACTTCATGTGTATGTTGAACCCCGGGGGGGTTCTTCTGTGAGCTCTTTGGGGCGGGGCCCTGCCTCCTATTGTACTGGTACAGCTCCTTGCACATTGACAGTGCTACAGGAAGCAAAAAGGAAATAATAATAATGACTTGAAAGTAGGAATAAGAGATCCTCCGGAATAGGGCTTTATTCCGGAGGATCGCGCCAGTCTGGACGATTTTTTCCGGCTTTTCCCCAAGCCGGAAAAAAAGCGGCGGCCTGGGGCGGGGCCCTGCCTCCTATTGTACTGGTACAGCTCCTTGCACATTGACAGTGCTACAGGAAGCAAAAAGGAAATAATAATAATGACTTGAAAGTAGGAATAAGAGATCCTCCGGAATAGGGCTTTATTCCGGAGGATCGCGCCAGTCTGGACGATTTTTTCCGGCTTTTCCCCAAGCCGGAAAAAAAGCGGCGGCCATGTTTATTTAAATCCCACGGGGGATATTTAAATCCCCCGCGGATTTCCCTATTCCAAAGTTCGAAATTAGCATGCCTCTTCCGAAGAAGGGGCCAGTGTAGACACAGCCATAATGAATTTTGGTACATGGTCATAGGTAGGGTTGCCAGATGGTTTCAACAAAAATACCAGACACACTTGACATTACATCACAGTCTACATTACATCTTATTTAGAAAATACCGGACATTTCTATTTTCTCATTTCTATTTTCTCAATTTGTTTCCCGAACAGAAAGCTCAAATATTGGACTGTCCAGTTCAAAACCGGGCACCTGGCAACCCTAGTCATAGGCCAGCTCCACACCCATAAAAGGTGGGGTCTGGGGGGAAAGGGGCAGGGCTCCCCACAGAGTTACCTGGGGCCAGAGGCTTTGAGTTAAAAACACAACACAGCAAAGGGCTTGCGACTCCTGGCCTCGCAGCTACCACTTTGCCTGGTACACCTCTGGGGTTGCTGTGGCTATTTAAAGGACTCCCTGACATTGTGCTACCCTGGCAGGGGCTGGAGCCATGAGCCCTGCTGCCAGGCAAAATGGTAGTGTCAGGGCTGTGAGCGCCTTAAATTGCTGCTATTTAAATGGATCACGGCACCCAGTCCTGTTGCTAGCATGTTGCCAGGGAGCCACCCAGGCTGCTGTGACTATTTAAAGGGCTCGCAGCTCTGGTCCCTGCCAGGGTTGTGCTGCAATGGTGAGCAGGGAGCCATTTAAATAGGATCCTGCTGCCTGAGCCACCCTCTGGAAATTCAGTGGCATGGGCAGCAAGCTATAAATCGAAAGTGGCCAGATGCAGTCTGCGCGCCGGATCAAAATGTTAGGTGGGCCGGATTGAGTCCCTGGGCTGCATTTTGTCCATGACTATCCAGAGCTACCGGTTAACATTCCAAAGGAGACACTGGGGATGCAGAGAACGAAGGTTTTTGGTAGGCTAAAAAATGTGAGTGGTTTGGTGTACACAGGGTTTAGCAGTGCTGGTGAAGGTGGAGTTTCTGATAATCAGATGACACCGAGAAAGCCCCCATACTGACACACTCAATACAAATACATTGGTACAGACCACTTTTTATTTGGCTTTATCAAAAGCGTTAGCCTGTTTTCATCTTAAAGAATAAACTCTAATTGGGGCAACCACGCTATATGGCTGGTAATACTCCTCCAGGATCCAGTGTATTGCCCGCCAGGTCTTGCACAAGATCAGAAAAATGGCAGAAAACGTCTTTTGGATTTTGCAGGAAATATTTCTTAGCATAACAATGAAATGCAATCATGCACTGTGGAGTAACCCTGAACACTGCATTTTCAACAGGCAATTGGATCGCTTGCAATCATGTTTGTCATTCAGTGGATCTACACTCTCATTAATTTGAGTGTAGCAATTATTCTGTATTTCTACATTGGCCAAATGAGTCCTGGACTACCCCCCGGTGAGTATTTTTAATCTGTGATATTAACTCCATTTTAAATACCGATTACATTTTAATTGAAGTTAAGTAGAAATTAAGGCGTTTTCATTTAGTATATGAGTTACATATTACAAATGACAGATATTATTTCCTTGCTCATTTATAGTAAAATTTGATAATTGACTCTTCAAATGTATATTTGTCTCTGGCTACCAATATTATTACGCAGATTAATTTTTGTTTCTGATTAATTCAACCATCTTGCTTAGAAGTTAGTAAGTTGTTTTGCTATGCTTTAAAATAAATTAGAAAGATCAATTACTTTCAATAAAATCACTGATTATAAAGTTAATAGGAATTGAAAATATTAAATGTATTACATCAATGGCTGCTCTATAAATACACTTTAATAAACCTAATTGGTCAATATAAATGTACCTGAGAAAACTGCTGTAAAACTTGGAATTACAATAAGTATCTCATTAAATCTCAGTGTTTGTAATGGCAAAACAAGTGAGCCTTTTGATTCTGAATTAGACAGGTTGAATACGTGAAGAACGTAATCTGGGCAAATACTCTTAAGCAAAAGGGCATTGAAAAGGTCTGTGCATGTGATCGGCTTATACAGGTTCAAAATTAAATACTAAAAAAAAGTTCAGAAAGCATGGCTTACGTTTCCTTGGTGTACATATGCTGGGAATCAGTGTTATGCTTTTGAAAATATTTCCTTTTGACAATTTAGACTTGAAGTTGCTAGATTGTATATCCCGTGAACACAAACTGTAAAAAACAAAGAAATAAGCAGTTAAGTTGTTGAATATTCCATCTACACTGTACACATCAGTTCCCCATTTTTTTCAGATTCAATTTATCTCTGATATGGAATATTGGGGAAGAGTTAAGGTTGTTAGGAGTACCTTAACTTTAGCTTTTCATATTTTTGAACATATTATTTGAAAAATTTCCCTTAATTTAAAATGTCCTTGCTTTTCAGTCTTTTTGTATAAAATTTGAACATGCTTTTGAGTTTATTCCCCCTTATCATTTTATGTTGTCACCATCTATACCAGTAAAGTAGGCAATATTGCCTAGTGGCTAGAGCACTGAACTTGCACTCGGGAAACCTAGGTTTTATACCCAACTCTGCTAAGGTGACCTCAAGCAAGTCACTTCACTTCTCTGTTTCTATTTTCTCCATCTGAAAATGTGAATAGTGAAACACATATATAAGTGTTTTGAGATCTACTGGTGAAAATATAGGGGATAATATTATTTTTACAGTTTAATAAAGTTTATGCCTTTTAATAATTATTCTCTCTTAAACCTTCAGGTTACATTCTTGAGAATCTTTAAAAAGCTTTCATGTATGGGAAAAACTGAAATACATTCTCACAGTTATTAAACCTTTCACCTTTGGTGTAATTAGGGCTAAAAACAATCTGCACACTTGTTTGAGACTTTATTCCCAGTCTAGATCAAGTAAAGCTATTACGAGAGAATTAGCAGCATGGTGACTTTTTCATGTGTTTTCCCTCTGCAGGGATAGCAGCTAACTTCAGTTTTCTCAGCTGGATTAAGTTAGGTTTGGTCAGCTCATGCAGGTTGGTACTAATCGCTTGGCACTGGCAGTGACAAAGTAATATTCACACTTAACAATAAACAATTGAAATTGTGCAAAAAATGTGGCTGTGTGTTGCAGAATTGTTACATGCCTCTGGGGTGCATTGGTGTTCTCTGATATAACTGATATAATCTTGTATTTTGAGTGCTGATATGGCTACAGAAAGTTACTATGTAAAACTATTTACTGCTTTAATCAAAAGACCTGCCCCTTTTGTATATTCAGGGTTGCAATGCTCATTTTACAGGCAGAAATAAATATTCATTCCTATGTATATGAAAGTGCACAAGGGAACCATTAGTGTACCCCAGCTGGGGCTGCACAGACCAATTAATGAGCACTGCATGAGTGCTCTTGAGAAATCAGCCTGAATCACCCCACTGTGTAGACAAGCCCTGTATGTGCCAGATGGCCATACGCTATCCAGTATTTGGATGGGAATGCTAGTGAGCATCCTGGTCAGAGTCAATTCCTGGAGGAAAGCAGAGGGCAGGTTCCAGGTTCCACATAACTTTCTATTTAGAAGACATGATTGTGATGGGTTCAAGTCACCAGGATCCAGTTGGGGCTCTTATCTGGTCTGTTGATCACTTAACCCACCTACCTGCCCTCTGGTGCTCCCCACCACTCAGTCCTGCTGCTTCCAGAAGCTCTGATCACCTCCAGCCAAAGCAGAATTGGGGTAAGAGGGCTCTTTGCACCTCTGAAAATCAGGCTACTTATTCAGATGTTTATATATCGATGTAGCAGTACTGCCAACTGTCACAACTGTATTGCACGTCATGTGAATTTTGATGTGTTTCTCAAGCCCCAGCTCCTGGAATCAAGAGGTGCCATGGGAATCTCACCTGTGCTTAAAAAAAAGAGTATGTGTCTAGACATCACAGTTACAGAGAAAAGCTTCAGATCATCAAGAGCAGGGGTGGGCAATAATTTTTGACGGGGCCACTCCAAGATTTTGGAAAGTAGTCGAGGGCCATACTCTTCCATGATATTAATGAAGATGCAGGGTCTGGGATGGAGGTTGGGTGCAGAAGGGAGCTTGGGCTAACGGACTGGGGTCTTGGGCTAAGGGACAGGAGGGAGACAGGAGTCTGGGAGGGAGTTGGGATGAAGCAGGCGGTTGTGACCTAGGGCAGGGGACTGGAGTCTGCCAGAATCTGGCCAATGGGAATGTGCTAGGAGCGGGACGGCTCCTAAAACTTATTCCCTCCCCTCCAATTTTAAAACAGAAACGGAGTCCTGCAGCTGCATTTCTTCACGGTGCATGGGGCTGCTGGGGAGCCTCCCTCGACTTTCGTGGGCCAGATTTGGCCCGCAGGCCAGATCAAAAGCGTGCACCCTAAGGAGTCGCAAACCAGAGGCAACAATAAAGGACATAACATTTTTTGTATCAGAGGGGTAGCCGTGTTAGTCTGAATCTGCAAAAGCGACGAGGAGTCCTGTGGCACCTTATAGACTAACTGAAGTGTAGGAGCATAAGCTTTCGTGGGCAAAGACCCACTTCGTCAGATGCATGAGACACAAATCTGATATTAGGAATGGCCTAACATTTTTTGAAATCTCAAGACTTTTAAGCCAATCTCGTGATTTTTTTATCCTGATGATTTGAATGCTTGAGCTTGGCAATAACACGTTGCCTATATTTAGCCACCTAAGTTCGTAAAAAATCTCTTAAATACAGTAGATTATAGTCTACAGACAGATCACTACAAATCTTACTGTAAAATAGAGTTTTATTGACTAACCTTTACAATTATGAGCAGGATGACTAGAAGTAGATCCTTCTCACTTTCCTGCAAGGACATTGCCTGGAAACTTTGGAAAACGATTGTAAGATATATGGCTATCTTTTTTATTTGCTAACAACCACAAAGTGCAACTGTGTAATTGAAACAAGTTCTGCCTCACTTTGTTTTGTGAGCTTTGGAGCAACTGGATAGCAACCAACAAGAGGAGGGATATTTAGTAAGAACATTTTAGTAAGCTGCTATTGTTTTTTCTAGTAAAGGAAAATGTGCTCGGAGCTCTGCAGCTCACATAGCCACCAAGGAAAGTTTTTAGTTTAATTTTTCGAAGTCGATGTGCATGAGGGATTCAATTTGTTTTGTTTACATAGTTGAAAGCACAGCTGCTGATAGATTGGAAAACAATGGGACATCTGAAGGTTGTGTGTTTCTCTGTTTTCAGGAGAAGGCCATCCCCAGAGGAGCAGTTTGTTGTTACACCGTCCTTTGCAACAGTTGGCATGGAGACCACTCAGCTCACGGAAGAGAATGCAGATTTTGCCTCTCGAGACCGCTACCACCATTCCTCTGTGATCAGAAGAGAAGAGTTTGTCAATCAATTTCAGTAAAAGAAAACAAACAAACAAAAACAAACAGGCTGTTCACTCCAAAAGTCTCTTATTAAAACACTAAGTGCTGTTGTGGCACCTGGTAAAATATTTGAACAATATGAATATATTTTTCAATGCTTCCACTGTTGTCTGTGTGTGTGTGTGAGTGTGTGTGTGCACGCGCGCACGCGCAAAGGACAAAGTTTGTAATTGTCACTTGGATTCCAGATGCAACCCAGCTGAGAGAAACAAATTAAAGGACTATAGTAAAGTCATCAGTAACTGAGGCCAATAGCATCGGAAGTCTGAAGAATTCAAATACTCCACATGCTAAATATTACAAAAACTAAAAATGCCATTTGAAACTTCCATGGACTGAATAAGAAGGCAATGTGACGTTTCGGTTAGAGCAGCAAACTGAGAATTAGAACTCCTGGATTCTGTTCTTAGCCCCATCGCTGATTTGGTGCAAACTTAGTTGAGTTGCTTTACCTCTTTACGCCCCAGTTTTCCTGCCTGTAAAATAATAGTTTTCTACCTCACTGAGGTGATGTGAGTTTTAATGAATTGGGGCTCAAAAACTGCATTGAGACACTTAGATGAAAGGCCTAAATAGGGAAATCAAGAGGATTATGAAGTACATTAAAATTGAAATGAAATCTGTTCATTTAAATGTATAAACTCATCTCCACCATGAGGACCTCTTCTGTATCATCATACCGTGAAATTGTAACTTGTTGGTGCTAAATAGCTAGTGCAGCCTCACTTCTAAAATGCAGGTTGTGGGAGGCAGAATTTTTAAACTCAGGTGATAATTTGAGGATCCTCTTCCTGAAGGTATAAAGTGTACCCAAATAGGATATGTCCTCTTTACAATAACCATTCATATAAATTATTAAAAAGTGCTTGTTAGGATATACTGTAAAACTTGTGTTATCGGGCACACTCAAGGATTATGGCATTCCAGTTATCTATAAAATTCCTGTTATCTGAGTGTCCTATCAACCTAGGAAAAACCAATGGACAATAATAGTAAAACTCAGGTTTTTAATATTGGTAGTTTTGTAGTTTGAGGCAGTTGGTCTCACATTTCTATTTTGAGTTAAAGATGATTAGTACTTCTTAAATAAAAAATTGTTAAGCCAATCATGTAAACCAAGCCAGGCCTGTGCGCCTGAAGATGTGACAGTATTGTGGCTGGGGGCAATGCCAGTTAACAAAGTTTTCTGGTTAACAGAGTGCTAGATAACAAAGGTTTCACTGTACATGGCTGCGCCCTTACTCCACTCAGAAGAAGAAAGGCATCACCTCTACTCAGTCCTCCAGATAGGAAGCAATGCTGAGGGCTGAATGAATGAGCAGGCCTCAGGAGTATGTGGTAAAATAGTAGCGAGCATGGCAAAATAAGCTGTTTGGTCATTTAAAATGTGTAAGAAAGGAGGTTAGAGATCATTTCCTTTAAGCTTAAGACAGTTTTTGTATTTCTTGTTCAGTGAGATGATAACCAGATGTTCCTATTCTCACCATCTGCTACAGAAAACACTCTGCGAATTCCTCCTGATTTTGGGACCCATGCTACTACCAGGTGCTGAAGGCCTTTGACTCCCCTGAATTCAATGGGAGCTGAAGGTATTCAGCAGCACCTCACAGGGTCAGCCCATTTGAGTGCTGTTCCTATCATGTGTTATTTTCATGCAGGTGGAAGGAAATGAGCTTTACCAATGAAATTATGAATAAACCTACTTTGGGATGCTGCGGAAAGTTTGCTCTGTGTTTTCATTTTCTGATATGGTCGCAATTCACCATTCCTTAAATCAGGGGTCTCCAAACTTTTCTGCCCGAGGGCCGCATTAACTATCAAACAGCAGTTCAGGGGCCGACTACACACTTGAGGTCCAAATAAAAAACAATCAAAACATGGATGTTGTTTTTAATTATTTATTTAATATTATTTTATTCAGTTATTATTTAATAACACATTGATACACTACACATGAACACCTGTATTAGTGTGAATGGTGAAATTGTTTCCTGGATGCCAAAATAGCAGACATTTCTGGCTTTAGAAATCACTGTTTGAAATTGGGGGTGGTGCAACTCCTCTTGCTGTGAGGGACGCGCAGAGCCCGGGCTCGGCCGTCGGTCCGCAGGGCGTGTGTCCGTCCGTTGGCGGCTCCGATCCCCCGCACCCCCGGCCGGGGAGTCTCGCTGCCCAGGGCAAGGGCTGCGCGGGTCCAGAGTCCCTCCTCCGTCCCGCTGGCTCCTCCGGCTTCCCTCTCCTGGCTGCCTGCCCAAAAGAAAGTGAGTGCCGGCCGCCCCTGTCCTTCCGGCCCCTCCACCTTTTGAGCCGGCACGCACGGGGCGTGCCGCTCACCCTGGCGTCCCTGCCCCTTCTCCTCCTGGGTCCTGCCGCCTTCCTCGCCTGCCGCGCCTGCGGCTGTGCGCCCTCGCTCCCCTCCCCGTGGGCTTTCCCCTGGGCTCCGCTGCGCTGCGCCGCTCGGCGCTTCTCCGGGGGAGGGGCTGTCAGTGTGGGGAGTTTCTTCCCCGCCCCAGCTCCGCGGCGCTGCGCCGCTCGGCGCTTCTCCAGGGGAGGGGCTGTTAGTGCGGGGAGTTTCTTCCCCGTCACAGTCTCCACGGGCCGGATGAGAGGGCCTTGCGGGCCGCATCCGGCCCGCGGACCGTAGTTTGGAGACCCCTGCCTTAAATGATTGCCCTTCTGAAAGTTAAAGGGACTCTGTCAAATTAACCCACCCTGAAGGCTGATTGACCCCAAGCTATTTCATGTTAGAAACGTTCATTTCAGGATTTCTGAGTTGGATATAAAAAAATTGGATAGAAATACATAGAGATGGCCCTGCAATACATTCTGAGCTAGGTTAAATCTCTTAAAATGAAAGTCTTACTATCTTTCCTAATGTACCCCCAATCCTAAACCCACAGATCTCAATGCAAGTCTTGCCATTGATTTAAATGGGTGCAGGATTGGAGCTGTAAAATCGACTTGTGGTGGTACTTGATGCTCGGAGGTACTGGACTTCTATAGGTTTATCTGTGAAGACATTTAAGATTCTTTTTTCCTAATATCTCGCCGTAGAAAAGATCACTACAAAGCAGAAACCTACTACATGTTGGACCTCCCTAACCAATCCCAAACGAGGGAGTTTGCCGGATCAGGGGAGGGCAATTCCGCCCTCTGTTGATGGACTCCATCAGGAGACCCAGTAGAGCTCCCCACCTGGCTGTAGGGTTCCCCTGCCCCCGCTTCCGAGCTCCTGGGGCCACAGAGCCTTCTGCTGCATCTGAGTTGTCACTGCCCCCCTTCCACCGGGACCAAGTGGGGCTACTGCTGCTGCCCTGGGCCATCAGTGCTGCCTCTTCCTTGGACCACCAGGACTTCCACGGCCCCAGGGCCTCCGGGTCTGATGCTGCTCCAGGGCTGCCGGAGCTCCACTGCTGGTGCCCATTCTGTCTTGGGATGCTCATTCAGCCCCCATTTTCCTGTAGCAAGGTATTTAAACAAGAGAAAACACATAGCACGGCATAGTATGAGAGATGGTTAGAAAGTCTTTGTTTTACATTCTCTCTCTTAGGTCCCAAGCAGTTTAATGCCCTCTTTGATATCAGAGACAGCAAACGGAAGCAAAATATCTCAGGGAAAAAATGTCCCTTTACCACCCATATCTTGTTTGGAAAATGTGTTAATTAAACCCAGATGACTGGTTTTGGTGTGGAATGTTTAAATATCAGACACCACAATTCATGCGGTTATCTATCAGACGCAACCATGTGAATGACCGGAAATACAAACAATCGTTTCTAGCTTTGTGCACTGAGGCTTTGATTGTGCACCAGTCCTGCTGTTTGATCAAGTTCAGTATTCCAGGAAAACCAGAACAAACAACAAAAGCTCTCCCCAGAACTCTCAGTCCATCGTAAGGTTCTCAGAAACAACTTCTCTTCGCTTGCCCTGTAATGATCCTGCCAGTTATAGTGGGCTTTAATGTGGGACACTCATTCCTGGGCAGCGGTCTAGCACAAAGCCGTAAGCACCGCTTATGGTCTATTTTGGGGGCTCTGAAAGGGGACTTCAGCAGTGCACATGGTTTTGCTGGCCTTCTGCACAGCAGTCAATTTTGCCTCCACCCCAAATGATTTGAGAAATGTATCCAGATTGGCATGTACATAGTGTTGGCATTGCTGTTGCAACATAATGTACCTCAGTAGGGATGGCACGTGTTGCAGCATGAAATGGACCCTGAACTGAAATTCCTCATTTCTTGTACTTGTGCACCAGGGAAATAATCCATCTCTCTTACGAATGGGCACAATGCTATGTTGTCACAGCACCATGAGCGTGAGGCTTCACACACATATCCTGTGATGGCTCTGAACATAGGAGATCTCATCGTCAGCATTGCAGGGAAAGTCTATTTTGACCATATATCATCTGGCTAAAGGGATAGGCTGCTCTAGGTTTTGGAAGGTCTAGACTTTAATAATCACCTACATAGCCGAAGAAGAGATTTTTATCATTGCTAAACTGAGTTCATAATAGCTCTGATGGTGTTGAGAGTTATTTGAGTAATTGGAAAGAGGGCTGGAAGTTGGCAGCTCTCGATGGCATCGTCTGCAGTCTCCTTGGTCCATATTCACAACAGAACTTAGGCTCCTAAGCCCCAGATTTAAGCACCTTAATCCCAATGACCCCATTGAAAACTCTTAATATGAACTGAGCAATGCTACAAGTTAACAAAATAAATGCCTGTAAGATTAGTTTGTGTCTTGTGCTCCTCTTTCTAAAACATCTTGATTTCTCTGATGTTAGAGAAACTTTTATGGGCATGAACATTTTTTCTTACCTTTTTTCAGACAGAAGAGTGTGGGTGGGAATTTGTTACTATCCTCCACCCTATAGCATCCGATCACCGGGTTAGTAACTTCCCTTGAGCAAATAAGTCTAGACTGTCTGCAGATTGCATGAAGATACAATTTATCATAAGATCCGTGCAGAGAATAGCTCTGAGTTATCTGCGCTGGCTACTCCCAGACAAGTACCCTTTGATTATTATCACATGACATGACAGTCAGATTCCTGAGAGGTCTTTAGCAGCTCTTCCCACGTGTATGGCCTCCCATTCTCCAATGGGACCTTAATCTGGTCCTCTCCAGATTTACTGGACCCTCCTCCAAGCCCATAGCCACGTGCTCCCTTCTGCACCTGTCTTGGAAGGTGGCCTTCCTAGTGCCAATTATATCAGCGAGGAGGGTCTCCAAACTGTGCGCCTTCACTTTGGAGCTCCCTGTACGCTGTCTTCTTTAAAGACAAGATGCAGCTGTAACCACACCTCGCCCTCCTACTTAATGTGTCCTCAGCTTTCCACATGAGTCAGGATGTCTTCCTCCTGGGCTTCTTCCTGAAACCTTATGTGACCAATAAAGAGAGGCAACTACATGCCCTGGACATTCATAGGGCCCTTGCTTTCTAGATTGACAGAACAAAACCGTTCCATAAGTTGGCCCAACTTTTGTCGCTTATGCTGAGTGGATGAAAGGGCTCCCAGTATCCTCACAGAGCATCTCCAATTGGTTAACCTCATGCATTTGGATGTGCTATCACCTGCCCTCCGCTCGTCAAGGCCTACTCGACCAGGATACAAGCCTCTGCAGCCTTCCAGTTACGGAAACAGGTAACCTTCAAACTACACTCAGGTCATGTTTTCAACCTTTCCCCTGCTCCCATTAGGGCCAAAAACTTACCTTTTAAAAAAATGAAAGCTGACAGTGTCCAGCAGTTAAAGCTTAATGAAACATGCAGAATATTGCAAGACTCAGAATGAAATTGCAAGAGTTGGCAGCACTGCTGTTTTGGTTGGGAATTGCTTTGAAGGGTGAATATTACACACTTGTAAGACAGAGAAGTGGAGAGAGGGAAATATAACAAGAAGTGAAACCGTTGTTTTAAACTTAGACAGAATCCCCCAACTCTCCAACAAATTGGGCAGTTGTAATGGAAAAATTTTAAACTGGGGAAGTGTGACTATTGGTATTTTCATTTCCAGAGCCTGCTAATACAGTGCCAATGGTGACTGTAAATATGTCAGAGAGGGGGCATGATTTTCCTATGTCTGTTAAATGTATTTGTAATGTGCTTTTATGTTGCAGTTAGCCACAGCTCAGCTCTGCACACCGACTGCTAATTATTACATTGTTTCAGAGGAGTAGCCGAGTTAGTCTGTAACTAGAAAAACTTAAAAAACAACGAATTGTCTAGTAGCACCTTAAAGACTAATGAAATATGTAGATGGCAACATGAGCTTTCGTGGGCACAACCCACTTCTTCAGGTGACATAATTATTACATTATGAGCTGTAAAAGGCAAATCCATGCATTATTCCCCAGATGACAGCATGGGACTTGAGGTGCTATGGTTACATCCTCTGAAGAGGTAAGAGACCTACACCTCTTATTGTTTTTCTACCTATATTAAGCTTAATCAGGATGCCACTAGGTCAAGGGCAATTGGTAGTCTTAATTCAACATTTCCTGGTGTTTCACTGCACATTTAATTTTAATATATATAACTTCTCCTGTATTCATACCCACATTCCTGGCATGCGGTTACAGCAGCTTTTGCAGGATATTCTTCTCTTTTTTTATGCTTTGAAACTTTTGAGTGGGGATTTATCCAACTCCCTGGCTTCCAAAATTCTGGAAGTGTTCAGATCCTCATGTTAAGCGTGAGCTCATTTCTGGT